GTATTTATAAAACAGTATATACCTGCCTTCTTTCTTAATATTTTATTATAAGTAATAACTGCTTCATTATTATTTAAATTATGAAAAACTTTTATAGGAATACGTGTAGCTAAATTGTTCACTGATTGAGATGAATAAGTAGAAATAAAAGTAGAAAAGCCTCTTCTATGTTCAATTTTAAAACGAAACCCTGTTTTATAATTGTTATGTGCGGAGGCTATAGGTTTCAGATAAATACATTACTTTTACATTCACATGCAAAGTTGGACTATATCTTCTTAAACACAATATAATTTTGTATTTAATGATTGCATGTAGTCTCTGAGGATCCTACTAGGATACGTTAATATCTTTCGGTTTCCTGCTGATTGTCTTGTATAATATAAAGGTTTTCCAGCATATAGCAATCTTTTACGAGACCAAATCATATTGTTTTTATTCAGTAGCCTCGGCTAAATCAAAGGGAGCTCTATTTGTTTCTGCTATGGATCCTATAAAGAAAATTATAAAGATAGGCAATAGTGGTACAATATATCAGATTGCTTTTTGCATTTCTGTATTAACGGTTAAGCTCAAGCTACCTGATAATAATACAACAAGCAGAATGGCTGAGCTTAAGATCAATTCGTAACTAATTAGTTGAGCAGTACTTCTTAATGAACCTAAGAACGCATATTTAGAATTAGCTGATCCAAATTTGTTATTGTAGAAGCTCTTTATCTTATACTTCCATAATTCACATTATGGTTCAGACTATATCATAATCTTATATATATTAATATTTTTATCAAAAGATACTACAAAGAATCTGTGACTATTAATTTATAAACGGGTTGAAGTAAAGATATCTACTACATATTCTTTTTAAGTTATTTTGTTATAAAATAATCCAATTATTTACTAAAAAGATATAGTTTTTCAGGTCTAGCTGTTTTTGTCTCTAAATGTCTTCTATTAGTTCTATATTCTACATTAAAAGATTCAGCAGCTAACTTTAAACTAGGAAAATTATTTATTAAATCTAATGTTTGTGAATTAGAAGCTCAAACCTTTTTCTTATTACCTAATTGTAAAGTATTTATATTAGTAAGTAATTTCCTGATTTCTTCATCAGTAAGTTGCTTACTAAATAAATATGTACCTTTTATTCCTTCTGCCTTACTAGTGTCAATGAAAGAATTAATAACATTTCTGCTGATACCTATAGCATGTGATGCTTGAGTTTTAGATACAAAAGGATTTCCTTTTCTTAATTCTAGTGTTTGAGCATCATATGCTCAAACTTCTTGAGCTATATTGCTGTTAAGTTTGAAATCATTTGATACAGTTTTAACTAACTTAAATGTTTCTTTTAGATCTATAATTGGTTTACTATTATACAATTTACCTCTAAATGGAATATTAGTATCTATATAGATAGATATTGTTCCCCTAGCTATTTTTTGTAGTTGGCTAGCTTCTATAATGCTTTTATGTTTAGCATATTTTTGATTTATCTGATTACACATAATTTCATAAACATACACTTCTTTAGATTTACCACTTACATAAATTGTATTATTATCTTTTAACATGGATAATTTAGTAGCTAAAGTTTCATGTATTTGTGATTCAGAAAATGAAGAAGAAAAGCTAGTATTTAATAAAGGAAGGTATTTTTGTAAATAATAATTCTCTCTAGCTCCTTGTTCTGGTGCTGAACATATTTCTATTATTGATATTTTAAAATGTTCTCAACCTACTAGATTTACAAAGAGATGAAATTTACTATTAGTATTAGGTTGTAAATGGTTGTTTAATCTTCTTTTAAATAAAGTAGTTCTACCTATATAGTATACTAGACAATTATATTTATATTCTATAAGATATATACAACTAAGAGATCCTCATTTTTTTACAAGTTCAGACCTCTTCTTTATATCATTATAAGTAACTAAAACTTTATCATCAAAAGGTTTTGCAATAGCATTTCTATCTTTGTATAGATCTTTTATATAAAGATTATGTAGTGGCTTTAATTCCTCAATGTTTAAACTTTTTTTTTCCTTTTTAGTTGCGCAAGCAATACCTTCAATTTTAGTTGAATAATATCTTTTACCTACTGGATTAGGCTTGCCCACTATATAGAATATACTAAAAAGTCTATAAGTAGGTATATAAGTAGTAGATTGAATCAAAACCTTAGAGTTGAAGGCTTTGTTACCCTTAATAACAAAAAATAAAATAGTCGGGTCTATAGTAGCGTTATTTAAATTTGTAGCTAATACACTAGATAATTTAGGCTTAGCCTTTAAACTTGATAATAAAATAAAATTTTTAAGATTTTGGGCGCTCGTGGTAAAGTTATCGACTTCTCTTGAGTCTCATCTACTAGTCGTTGAGTATTTAAAGTTTAATCAATAGTTTATTAAAAGAATTAAAACTATTTCATACCTTATATTAACAAAATATGTTAAGAAAATTAAACTAGACTTTTCTTCAAGTTGACTTTGAAAGTTTCAAAACGTTTCTTGAAATTCACCCAATGTTTTACTTATTACTCACGTAATAAGGGGACTAATCGTTAATCCTGCTAATAATATACCATAAGTAGATAAGGAAGAAACTGCTAACATATATAGTATTCCTAAATCAAAGTCTGATATAGCTAGACCAGGACCATATGGTATAACAGAAAATCCTAACAAGGAAAAGATTAAAGTTATGATAGGTCCAAGAAAAAATAAAACTAAATTAGCTTGTGTGGGGGAAACATATTCTTTTAAAAGAAGCTTTAAGGCATCTGCAAACGCCTGTAATAAACCGTAATATCCTATTATGTTAGGACCTAATCTTCTTTGCATACTTGCCATTGTTTTTCTCTCTGCAACCGTAACATAGGCCACAGTTAATAATACTGGCACGGTTACTATTACAACTTCTATAACAGATATAAAGATAGGTGAATATAACATGGTATTAATAATAAAACATATAATATCTCATCAAAAATAAAGCAACCAACTTAAAAACTTTTTCTCATCTAGATATAAATTAAAGATAGAAGTAAACTAATATTTTATTAGTTTTTGGGTCTAGCGATAACGCTTCTTGCTCATCCTTTCTGATTTTTCATATGAAAAAACAGAAAAGAATAAACATGGCGCAAGAAGCATATACTACAATAACAACTAAAATGTTGTAAATGGAACAGGAGAACTCTTTATTATTAGTATATATATTTGTAAAAAAGTGAGCAAGGAAATAAGGAAATAAGGAAATAATGGGTGACGATAAACATTACGTATACAAAAGCAACTCTATGGTTTATCATGAAGATTAGTGATACATATGAACTATAAACAAACTTGTATTCTTATCTAAGAGTTGAACTTAGATCTAAAGATTAGGAATCTTCTGCTCTACCATTGAGCTAATAAGAATATAATAAATTAGCATTTTGCTCTTAATACTTAAAACCTAAACTCTTTACTTTTTGATTCTAACATAAATGTATATTACAATATTAAATTATATATATATAAACTAGATTCGCGCTTTCAGTCATTTAACCAACGTGGTGCTCCGCATGCTTCGCAACTAGAAGGGATACCGAGGAATCGAACCTCATGAATATGATCTGCAATCAAACTGTACAACCTTATACATGACATCCCTTTATTTTATTTTTATCTTTTTATTATTGCATATAACAGTGATGCACTTTTTATTGCGGTTGCTTGTGAATGCGAAGCATCATGGCATCAGCATCATGGCATCAGCATCATGGCATCAGCATCATGGCATCAGCATCATGGCATCAGCATCTGATTTTTCTAAAAAAAAATGTGAAAATGAGAAAAAAAGCAACACAGGTAAGCTTACATTTATATCTATTAAGTAGCCAAGTTTAACATATCACTGACAGATACGACTCGAATAACACGGAAAAAATCATAAAAGTTGAAAGGTAAAGGCAAGCCGGGTATTATGTTAACTGTGATATAATTAGGGACAAAAGAGTTATGCATAGATACAACATATTCTATTAACGTCCAAGCATGATACAAAGTATACATAACAAGGTGATGCTCTGCTTCTTGTTCCACAAAAGCTTCTTGTTCCACAAAAGCAACACATAACTAGTCTCTTCTCGAGATGACCTATCCATTGTCCAAAATGTTATCTTTTAAGTCTAATATCAGGTCCTATTGCTTTAGTAGAAACACTGTTTAGTATAAACCAAGGATAATTGAACATACACAATATATCATATAAGGATACGTACAATAGCCTATGTATAGATGTTAATTCACCTATACTCTAAACTATAAAACATCCTATATATAAATAAATATCCTGTATATAAATAAATATACCCATAATAAGGGTTAGCTATATTAATGACTGTTAATGAATATATATATGCACAGTTAGACAAATTGTTTTTAGCAGAAATACAATTGCATATAGACTTAAGGCACTACCTGGTATCATTAAATGTTTTGTATAGTTGAATCAATTTGATTTAGTTGCTGATGCCATGATGCTTCGCATTCACAAGCAACCGTATATTAAATAGTTACAGGTTTCCCTCCAATTGTTACTAATAGACCCCTCAAGTAATATTAAAGAGAATCCTTAATGAACTTTGATTGCTTAAGATCATTAAACAAATTACAAGTCTAATTACAGGATCCATTAGAAATGTTATCTGGTGTAAAGTGTTGTAAAATGTTTTGCAAAGGCAAAACACGTATTATTAAAATAATTTATAACATCAATTATGGTTTCATTTATAAGCAGTAAGCTATTAATCATATTAAATTGTATTATATTAGTTTTAGGTACTCACTTAACAATTTAAGCATATATCATTTGAAGATGCAGCTCATTTCAACGAAAAATGTATATCTCTTTTATGAACACACGTGCATAAGGCTCGAACTTACAATCCTTGTAACCGAAACGCATCACTTAAGCTAATGCGTACTAACATGTATATTAATAATTGGTTTATTTAAGACCTACGGGATTCGAACCCATGTAATGATGATTAAGAGTCACATATTTTACCAATTAAACTAAAGTCTCTAGATTTATTAACAAACATTTAAAGTAGTACATATCTTTATTTAAGTAATTAAGCCAATACGTGCCCATATAAAACATAAAATACCTTTTAGATTGATGCAGTAGAATATGTATGCTTTAAACTTTTCGTAAAGTACCTTTAAATAAGTTTGAACATTTATCTAAAGACTAATAATATTTACTTTAGCCATTTGATCAATAACAAGTTTGCACAGTATTAAGTTACCCCAATGATATAGATAAAGTTAAATTCTTATCTAAGATTCGAACTTAGATCCAAATATTAGAAGTATTCTGCTCTACCATTGAGCTAATAAGAATATATTACCATTCTTACAGTAAGACATAAGGGTCAGTAAGGGTGCATACCGCATTTGCTACTAGCTTACAGAGCATAGAATACAAAACCAGAAAACCCTTCTGATATTATACCCTCCATCAATATACTTCCTATTGTTAAGAGTACTAAAGAGTTAGTAAAGGAATACAATGAAAGTGTTCATAGTTAAATGGTCAGTCTAAACCTGGTGCTATGACCAGATCTAGCTAACTAGGCTTAGGTCAGGCTGGTGGAAGTAAAAGAAGCTCAAATCGGAAAGACTCGTGGATTAAAGTCTAGGCTGTAGAATGAACTAAACCCAACATATCATCGCCTGTTCCGTGTTAAATTTCCAATAATCCTCTACACTAAAGTCAAAACCTCGTACTAATGGCATAATAGACATCCTCTCTACCATAAAACCAGGAAAGTCAAACATACACAGAATATTATGCAGGTGTTGATCAATAGACGTGTCTTCAGCTTTAAGCATATCAAGGTTATAATAAATATTAGCAAAGATAGCACATCCCATAAGTAAGCAACCTAGTCCAAAAAAAAGATAATTAGGTTTATTATTAGCAGTTACCACTAACTCTTCACTTGTTGGAAAGCATCCATCATCTGAATTATTAGCAACAGGTGTAATGCTGCAGGCACCTTTAAGGAAATTTCAACCAAGTTGACAAGTTTTATCAAATCAATTGATTTCGGTTGGCGTACCCTAAAGCCAGTATTTAACAAATTCATTTGAATTATTCTTAGTAGACATATCAATATGTATATAAGACATATCAATATGTTTAGTAAATATATCAAGATGTGTCTCCCTATATAGGGAACCCATAAAACTGTTAAACTCATAAAACAACCTGTTAATGTTATCATATGAATCAACAGGCATATCATGTGATGATGCCGATAAAGATGAGAAGAGTACAAAATCATAAACATAAAAGCCATGTGATATTATACCCGCCACCAGTATGCTTCCTATTGTTAAGAGTGCTAAAGAGTTAGTCATGTTAAGTTTTACATTAAATTTTACGAATACACAGCAGAGTAAACAATAAGGAATAGCTGATTTGAACACCTAACCTACCGTGTGTAAAACGGTTGCTCTACCATTGAGCTAATTCCCTTATATTTGTTTTGCGCATTCGAAGCATGCGCAACATGATATAAAAATATAAACATACAAAACCTCTTTTTTCGTGGTTTTTCATTAGAAAAAACAGAAAAGATGAAGTGTAAATTATCTATTGTTCTTGTAGTCAAGAAACAAATTTTTCTATAGACACTGATTCTATAACAATAGGCATTGAACTGTGTAATATACCACAAATCTCTGAACATTGACCATAAAAAGTTCCTTTCCTGTTAATCATAACAGAAACTTGATTTAATCTTCCAGGATAGGCGTCACATTTAATACCTAAAGCAGGGCAAGCAAAAGAATGGATAACGTCAGCACCTGTAACTATAAATCTAACATGAGTTAGTTCTGGTATAATAAGTCTATTATCCACTTCTAACATTCTTAAAGCACCGTCTTCTAAGTCAGATTCAGGCACTAAATATGAATCAAATTCAATAAACTCATCATCACTATTTAAAAAATCAGGATATTGGTAGCTTCAGTATCATTGGTGCGGAAGTTTTTAAACAACCTTTCGACTGTACATTAAGCATCATAGATATACATCTAAAACACCCACAAGTGACCCAGTCTGTTGCAACAGACATAAAAAAATAAATTGTCTACTGACAGTCTTGTATTCTTAATAGATATCGGATAAAAATAAGATATTAACTGTTTTCACTCATGTCGCCAAAGAGAAAAATCTTTTTCTCTTTAAGATCCCCGTCGGGATCTTAGAAATTAATAGATTCAACTTATTGCCTTTTAAAATAAATAACTTTATTATGTTTGATGCCCATTATTCGCAATCGCAACACTTAAAGAGATAAAAGCAATAAAGAGCACTAACTAAGGCTCAATTAAGCTAGTGGTCTATATTCTACCCCTTATTCTACCCTATTCTCCAACATAAAAATTATGTTTACTTAAACCGGATTGAATAAAAAAAATAAATATAAACATATCCATTAAGATCACGACTATTACATATATGTGAGGGGATTAAAATAACTTATACTTTATTGCTTTTGTGTTGCTATTGCGGTTGTGCGAAGCACATCAGCATGAGTATAACCTTGTTTTTGCTTGTGTGTGTGAGATGCTCAACTTCGTTAGCAAATCACATGACATGGCATCAGTAACTATAAACCTAATTTATAGCGCATACTAGGTATAACAAAGGGTAAGATCAATTTTCTTAGCTTTAATACTGATTCACCTTTAATATATATTGAAGATTGGCCAGGTGTATTAATCTTTTGAACGGTACAACTTAAATAAAAGAGTTTTTTTAACAAATTAGCTAAAAGTTGCACTTCTTCTAATTTAAAACTATTGCTTGATATTCTAACCCCTGGCTTAGCTCAGCCACCATCATCCATGATCCAAATTGCTAAAGCTAAGGGTGTCAAATATTGCTCTAGCTTAACACTAAGCGTTTTTGTACCTTTTTTGTAAAACAGTTTGTATATTCAATTAAAACTTCTGAAAGTAAAGGTATTAAACTCATAACCGTAGTACTCTTTAATTTCGTTAGATATTTTATTCCGTAGTTTTCTAGTGTACATTCTAGGTTTTAAATTGGAACAATAACCTCTTTTGTAATAAAATTCATACAATCAAAATAAATAGTCTTTATGTACTTGACTTTGTTTATAAGAAAATCTAGTACCTTCTATAGTTCTTGCACTAGCATAGGAATCACCCAATAATGAACCAATAAGAACGGATATTACTTCCTCATTATGTGGTCCTATTCTATTAGAAGCCTTAACTTTAGTATGAAATGTTTTCTTGAAATAAACAGGCTTAGTTAAAAAAGTAGTAAAGTTATGTTTTGTATATCTGGTGATGCTCATGTTTGGCAATTGCAACAAAAAGCTTGTACTTTGGACTTGAGCTAGTCTAGGTACTAAAGTATTATTTTTTTCACCAGTACGGTTTGACATAGGTAGTCAAACCGTTAAACTGGTATCTTTTATTTTATTTAATATATGTAATTTAAGGCCACCCGTAAAGAAACCTTCTGCTAACACTGCCATAGCTGGATCACTTACTTCATCCATTAAATATAACAATTTAAAAGATGGAAAAGCGATTAAAATTAATATTAAGGCAGGTGTAATAGTTCATATTAGCTCGATCAATGTTCCATGACTTAAATATTTATGTGAAATTGCTGACTCTGTATTAGTATAGTTTTTAACTATTGATATTAATAATCATCCTACCCCAAATAATATTATAACTAAATAGAACAATATATTATCATGTAACTCCACTAAACCTTCCATTTGTGGTGTTGCACTATCTTGAAAATATATACCTCAAGGTCTAGGTGCATCACAATATGACATAGGTAAAGCTGCAAAAACGATACTTGGACAAAAGAATAAGAGAATTATACTTGCACAAAATAATAAGATAATTATGCTTGTAATAATAATTACTTTTTTAACTATAATAGGATTGTCTTTGCTAGATCCAACCTCAGATGATCCACCTCCACCAACAGATGATCCGCCGTTACCGTTACCTCCTTTACCATTACCTCCTTTATCGTCGGAGTTTTGAGAAGGATCAACAGGTGCGACGGGATTAGGTGTGCCTTTTGCTATCTCTACTATTCTAACAGCAGAATTAGGGTAATTACGTACTACCCATTCTGCTACAGCTGTAGGTCTGTCACGCCATGGATCTATTCCCAAATCGGGAAGAGGTATTATATGTGAATTTATATGCATGCCCGTGTTGGTATAATATGTAGTTCTAATTCCCGTAAAAGGATCTATCCAGCAAGTAGTGTTATTGTTATGAATTGCACGTATGAATCGTACACTCCTCTCCATAATATAATTAGAGGCAGGAGCATTTAATTTAGGAGAAGGGAAGAATCCTGATTGCACCTGTACCATATCTAATTTAGATAACACGTAGCTGTTATTATATGATTTTGTAGATAATTCTATTAAACTATTCTCAAATAAACTTATTAAAGGAACTATAATCAAAAAATGTGCGAAATAGATAACTGTAGATATTTGTCCAAATTCTATAAATGGAGATTCCACGTGTTTAGCACCTAATTCCATTAATATTAAAAAGTTACCAACAAATATAAAAAAGGCTGCTTTGCTTAAAGGTTTAAATTGTATACCTCTGGATCTAGAAAGATCAGTGAAAGGCATAACTAATAAAATTAATATAGCAGAAAACATGGCGATAACACCTAACAGTTTATTAGGTATAGATCTAAGTATAGCATAAAATGGTAAAAGATCAAAAAAAAATTTTTTAACATGCGAATTAAAATTGTACATTCTTAATTCGCAAATGACAGGCTTATAAACCCAGCTTATATAACATTTCTTTTATGAAAAACGGATTGACTAATAATATCAAACTGTCCATCGATTCTTTAAATATATAAATACGGGGTTTATTGTCCCTGTTATAATGTATAGAACATTTAAGTTTAAACTTATCTTGTAGAGTAAACATAAGTTTGTCTACATCTGTATTAGAAAAAGCATAAAGACT